TTCAGCAGCTTCCAGAACTCGAACTCCTAGCCCCCTAGAGGCATGAAGCCTTAAGGAATTGAATGGGAGATTTCAACAAAATGCAGTTGTGTTACAGAATATTTCGAGGCAAAGTCACCAAGGCTGCAAAGGATGTTCGGAAGTGGTAGATGAGAATGAAAAGGACAAAGCTGTGGGGGGAGCAGTCCGGCTCGGAGGTGGAGCAGCGTGGTCAGTTAGGTGGGAGGGCCGCTGCCCACCCCGAGCAGAGCTGCCCCTCCCACTGCGACCAGGCCATGGGCACAGAGTGCCTGCCTGGAGTGCTTGACACCAGCGAGGGAAGAGTTACTTGCCAGATCGTCACCAGACAGCACAGGGAGCTGGTGCGGTGTTTGGGGACCAGGTGAAGAAATATTCTATTACCCCGTCAGGGGCTGGGCTTTTTTTTTTTTATAGCTAGCATTAAAATATTCAAGACTTGAGAAGGATTCTTGTAAAATTATAATCCTGTGTTTGACATCAAAATAATTTTCACAACAGCAGATTGATGACAGAAACACAGGTTTATGACTTCAGGATGAGGCTGTGGAAGAGCAGGCGCTGAGAAATCATCTTGCAGGACCGAATGCTCCCTCGAAGCAGATGCTTTCCTGCAAAATCCCTGAGGCCTGTCGCCGGCCCTAAAACGTCTGTTTTCATAGCAAAATGTTCGCAGATATATTGCATCTTGCACAAGACTCCAGGAGGGTCACAGCGTGCCCAGGCCTGATTTACTTAGCTCACGATCATGATGCTCACGATCATGATGCTGGTGGAAGACGAAATTTCACTTCTCCTGTCTCTGATTTTTATAGCAATTTAAATACTTAGCCTTATCTGCCATTCCCACGGTGTCTTTGTGAGCTCCGTACCCACAGCAGGTGACGGAGGACCCTGCCCCTGTGTCCTGGAATTTGGCAGAGATGTTTCTTTCAGAGGCTCCGCAGGGGTCAGTCTTAGACTCAGGTAATGCATGCGGTGGTCCTAGAATTCTGGAGTTTTTCATAAAATGAGCACCGTAGACTGAAACCGAAGGGAGCAGATAAGGGCCAGAGGCTGATGACGTCAGACTGTGACGAACGGACAGCTCTCCATCTAGTTGTTTTCTCATCGTGTTTTTCCTGTGCAGAGACATCAGTGTCTCCCATTTATTGAGCACCAACTGCATACAAGACGTTTCATGTACAGTATCTCATTCGGTCTTCCCAACTGTCCCGCAGCGTAGACATTATTATCCCCATCTCACAGATGAGGAGATAGAGGCCCATGGCCACAGAGCGTAAGGGAGGAGCGTCAACTCGAACTCAGCCCTGAGGAATTTCAGAGCCACCTCCTCCCGCCCCAAGATGTAATTGAGCTAAGCCATGTGTGGTCCTTAATTCTGCAGGCTCGAAGAGGACTCTCAGAGGGATCATTGGTCTCTTCAAATCGGGTTCTTCTCGTGATCGAGTGATGGAGGCTGAGGCTTTATTGACCATGAAAACTCCCTATATTTTTATGCCTCAAGCTGTAAAATGCATTGAAAGCGAAACACTCTATAGTGCATAAAATTGTGCAAGTTTTAAGCCACAGCATATTAACCAGCTAATGGCAGACCAAAGGGCGTTTTTATCTTTTGATTATTACATTAATCTTCCATTAAAATTATCTATGTGATTATCACAAAGCACTGAAGATAATAAATTTAGAAAATAGTTGGCTTATTAAGGATCCTTTTTAAATGCTTTTGTCAAGTTATATGTGCCAAAAAATATACTGAAAACACCAGGTTGGCTGAGTGTGCAAACAATATGACCTGAAGATTGTTCTCATTGAGAATGATAAAACCTCTTATTTCCATACACTCTCTGTGGTGTCCCAAATCGTCAGCCCGGCCCCGCGGCCCTCATGATTTATTGCTCTCAGCTGGCACCTTGGCGTGGCAGTGGGCCAAGCGTGTCAGGCCTTCTGTACTCACACACCAGCCTTTAATGCCTGCTGCTGGCAACTATCAGAGCAGAAAGTTTGGAGGGGACACAGTGCCAGAGCCCGGCCCCATGTGAGACGTGCCATCCCAGAGGCCTCTCCCGCTTCAGGCACAGGATACGTGGCCCTCGGCATAGAATCAGCAGAGGCGATGCCTGGTTTCTCGAGCCAGAAATATTCAGGTTTCTACTCATAACTTTTATGTATTTGAGAGTGAAGAGCAGTGATGTTTGCTCACAAAAAGCTCCAGCCAGGGGAGCTGGGGGCAGGGGGAGGTGTGGGGTCTGAGGAGGTGAAGGGGTGAAGGTGCCTCTGAGGAGGCCAGGGCCTGGGAACCAGAAGGCGTGTTAGTCAACGGCCTGACCACCTGGTCCAGACGCTGACCCACACACTTACCAGCTTCGTGACCTCAGGTAAATGACATCACCATTCTGTTCCTCGATTTTCTCATCCGTGCGATGGGGGTGATAATGGCAACCCTTAAGGCTGTCGTGAGGGTAAATGAGTCAAGCCCTGGAAAGCACTCCAGCCCTGCTGCTGCCGCCACGACTGGCCACTGAGCTCTTGCAGGCCCGTGGACACCCCCCACCCCCACTGCACCCCGGACTCCTGCTCACCTCTTAGAACCCAGCTCTTTCGTTTTCCCCACCGGCCTCCCCACACTCACACCTCCCCGGGAGTCAGTCACAGCCCTCTGTGCTCCGTGTGCATCCGTCGTGGTGCTTGTCCTGTGGTGGACACCCGCTAGGCTCTGAGCCCCTCAGGGCACAGACCAAGTCTTACTATTCCCTCTGTCCCTTACTTTCCCCAAGCAGGGGGCCAGGCTCAGACGTGGCAGGTCCAGGGACAGTGACTGTATGTGCGGCAGCCACCAGGCATGTGGTCAGTCCGCGAGTCGTGATATAAAATGACCCTGGGGACGCAGGTGGGAGCAGCAGCGTGCAGAAGGCTGAGCTCCCCGTCTCAGCTCTGACGCCCCCTCCGCTGGGGCTCCGACTCTGGCGGTGCTGGTAACTCGGCCGCTTCCCTGAGCCTCACTCTGCTTATTGATCCCTGGCTGGTGGGCACTTGTGAGTGCTCAGTGATCGGAAGCTCTGTACCCGCTGGTGGGGGCCGAACATGGAGCCTAATGTGGTCTATTCTTCATCCCTACGACGTTCTCCTCTTTCAGGCCAAGAGAGGGGGCTCAGGGCAGTTAGCGCAAGCCCAGAGATGCACAGCAGGCGAGTTGCGGAGACGGGAGGCAGCTTATGTGAGGGGGCGCGCGGGCTCTGGGGTCAGGAACGCCCACCACTGACCGACTGGATGGCCAGGCCCGCCACTTGTGTCTCCAAGCCTTGTTCTACCGGCCCCCACCTGCTAGCTGGCTGTGATGACCAGAACCCAAGATAGGAGAGTGACCGAGCTGTGTCCTCTTGCTTTCTAGGTTAACTACATCTTGGAGTCACGAGCAAGCACTGCCCGGGCTGACTATTTTGCTCAAAAACAGAGAAAACTGAACAGACGTACAAGCTTCAGCTTCCAGAAGGAGAAGAAATCAGGGCAGCAGTGACACCGGCCTCCAGCTGCCATCTGCCGTAGCTCAGAGCCTGCCTGCCAGGGCCAGGTCGCCCTGGAGCCCACCCTGTGTCCTGCAGTCTTCGTGGGGAGGCCAGCCCCTGGCTCATGGGCACAGGAATGGTGGGCAGCGCCCCTTGGAACGGAGGGGGGGACATTTCCATGGGACCGAAGCCTGAGTGGCAGTGGCTTTGATCAGCAGTGCCCGGGACCCAGACAACACGGGAGGAGCCACCTGCCGCCTGGCAGCCCCGCCTGAGGGTGGACACAGCCACGCCCAGACCACTCCTCGCCACTTGATCCAATTTCTGAAAACGGACGAAGAACAAAAATGTACATTTCTTTCTTCCTTTTAATAAACAGGTGTACTCTTTACCACGTTGATGGACCATTCTTTGGGGCAGAGAATTGATTATGTTCTTCACTTTAAAATCTGTTCCCGTATTGAACAGACAGATTGGAAAAGCTATGGCTCGATTTCTCAGAAGTGTTTAGGGCTTAGTCAATAGTTCTAACTATGCCGTTTGTTTAAATGAGCGCGTTGCTTTGGGGACAGTTTCTTACTGAAGTTAGAGGGACCTAGTGAAGTGTGTCCAAGGCTGCGCCCCTCCCCCTCTCCTTAGCTCATCCCACACCTCTGATTTCAGAGGCTCAGGACCACGTGTAAGTCACGGGTGTAAGTCACGGGACGCGGGGAGAACGGGGTGGGAGACTGGGAGCGGGGGGACCTCAGGTCACATTCGGCTCCTGGCCAGGCGTGGTCCTGTCCGTTTCCGCCAGCACTGAGAGCTCGTGTGGCTTCTCCGCCGGCTTGGAAGGACTCGCTCCCTCTCCTCCCCTCGCAGAGCAGCCTCCTTGTCTGAGCCGCCAGAAGCTGCTGCTTCTCAGTATATCGGGGAGAACGGTGAGCAGACGCTGCAGGCAGGGAACCTGCGTTCACGGTGGGAAGGCAAGGGACGGGCGTCCACTGACACCACACCTCTGGCCACACCAGATGCCTCTGCGGTCCTCACCAGCCTCCAGTGTCCCTCCCAGGGTGACGTCCTTTCATACTGTCCCCAGCCAGGGTCAAGGACCAGACGTTTCACTGAGGACCTGCATTTCAAACAGTTTTTAAATTGTACAGGAAGAGATGCGACAAAACAGCATCTCAGCGTCGAGAGTCTTTCTTCACAGACTTCATTTTAATGACTTCCTCTTTCATGCTGATCTTTGTTCAGCCGACAGAAGCATCCTTTTCTAATCTCTTCCGTTCTTACCCACCCCAGAAACAAAAGAAATATTATTTGTAGTTTGCTCTCTGTATTCAAATTTTTAGCAATTTTGTATTTAGATATCTTTGAAAAATGTGAATGACTAATTAAGTCATTAAATCCTGTGACATATTCAATATTAAAATGATATTAAAATAAAAGTCATATAAGTACTATCTTTTGTGTTTTGCTTTGAATTCTTGAAGTCTTGAGTACAGTATCTGGGAGAGTGTGACTCTACAGTGCGTCATTCTGGGTGGCACCAACGACCATACAGTGCGCCGTGGGCCTCCTTAAACACCAAGCAAGACAGGATGACCCCCTTCATTCAAGGGGGACACTGAAATCATCACCTCCTTCAGTGACAGAATCCATGCCGTCCTCATCCGGTGAGTTGTAGCACATGTGCAGTTCACACGGAATGCACGTCTGCCTGAAGGAATAACATAAGAGGAACGCTGTGCCACCACCGCCCAGGTCACCCAGATACCAAGACTGTCTAGATTCCGTCTCTCCTCGGCCCCTCTCTCACACCTGCGTTTTGAGATAAGACAAGGAGCCTCCCAAGGATCGGCTTTACAGAGCAGCAGGAGCTCAGCACGCCGAGGTAAGGTGAAGTGACCCAACCGGCCCCACTCCAATTTCCAGCAGTGTGGAGTGTGAGCCCCCACCAGTCACGATGGGAATTCAACCAGGACTTCGCCAAGTGTGGGTGGGTAGCCTGCCGGGCCTGGGCAGTGGTCCCTGGAGCCTTGGCCTCAACTGGCTACTGAGAACCGCCCTCCTTGGTGTGAGGGGCTGCTGTGTGGCAGCATTTGTTAAATATGCGTGAGCCCATGTGACGCCCGCAGCCAGCCCCTGGCAGGTCCTGTCATTACCTCTATTCCCGGGTGAGGACTCAGGGCTTGAGAGGGTGTCACCTTGCATCTGGGACTCACTACAGCCATGCTCTTAACCGCTGGGCCCTGTCCAGCTCCACGGCGAGCGGCTCTGTGGCCTTGAGCTGGGCACTACCTCCTTGGGGCCTCAGTTTCCTCGTTAGCAAATGAAGGTGCTAGATTAGGCAGCCTCTGCAGACCTTTCTAGAGAATGTCTTAAATGCCTCAGATCACAATGAGCCCACCCAGCCTTCCAGTGGTTTCTGTTTGCCAAAGCTTGCAGGAGCTTTTCTGCTTCTGAACGAGAATTCTAAGAGCCGAGAAGTACTGTGAGGTCATTGAGTGCAGCCTCCTCTCTCGGGGCAGTAAGTGCATGTTCCCTCCCAGAGTCTTGGAGCCTCTGCTTGCACACCCCCAGCAACAGGGTGCTCATTGCCGTTCAGGTCATGGTCAATATCAGGGCCCGAGAGGGGAGCAAAGACCTGACTCGGCCATCAAGATGCTCACAGTCTGGCGAGGCCAAGAGGTGGGCAAGTGACCCCCAGGCCACACCACAGTGAACACTGTGCCTGCGCTGTGGGGACCAGCGTGGGCCTAGAAGGCGCCTGGCAGAGAGGACAGGGTGGAAGAGGACAGCTGGGCCGCAGCCGGGGCTGTGGCATCCGGCCCTCACCAGCCCTGTTGGAGCAGGACAGTCACAGCTTCTCGATGTTCCCCGCACACTGTATGACCATCCCCTTGTGGAGCCCCAGGACACCTGTGATGAGGCTGGGCATTGAACCAAAGCCATGAAGGGTGGGTGGCATGGGGCTGCAGCGCCCAGGGGGAGAGTAAGGCCCCCCCACCCTAGGAGGGAGACCCCGGGCACGCATCAACAGCTTCCGTTTCCCAGCTGGACTGACCGCCGAGGACGGTGGCTGCCGTGTGGGCTGAAGAAGGGACCCGGAGATTGGGGAGCGGAGCCGGAAGTGGAGACAAGGGGTTTGTGCTCCTGTCTGAGCCAGCCCTGCCCAGCCGCCTGTGCCCCGTGCCCTGGTGCCCACGTCAGCGTGTGGCATGGGCTCCTGCCACATGACTTGCCAGCTCTGCCATGGGGTGCTCTCCTTCCAGCAGGGAGGGGACAGGAAGAAGAGAAGGAAGAAGCAGGGGTTTCTTTCCTTCTTCCCAGCTGGAGGTCAGAGGCCTCAGGGTGCAGCACCTGGTGTGCAGGCTCCAAGGCCCGAATCCTGGCCTCATGACCTCTAGGTAAGTGGTTAACTCCTCTGTGCCTCAATGTCCTTGTCTATAAAATGGGATGAAAATGCCCTTCTCTCCAGGCTGGAGTCAAGATTTAATGAGACAATACATGAACAACGCCTGGTGCATAAACACTTCACAAACGACAGTGTGACAGTGACGTCTGTCATCTCACTTAATCCAGTGGCCTGGATGCCATGTTCTGCCCCAAATATGCCCTCTCTGAAGAGGACCCGGCTGTGACAAGCCATCCCCTCCTTGAGTTTCAGAGCCCAAAGAAGCTGCCTGTGGCAACTGCCAAGACCAGCTTCCTCAGTGCCCAGGAAGGAGGGTACACAGGAGCCAGGCTTTGGCCCTCTGCCCTGGGGGATGAACAGCTTGATCTGGGGGGCCTGGCATGGTGGGCCTGCACTCAGTCCAAGCCCCAGAGCCACCTCTGGGACGCTACCCATCCTGCCTTTTCTCACCAACTCATCCTGTAAAACAAACACTCACTGAGCGCCCTCTTAAAAAGCAGACCCTGGAGTCGAGCAGGCGCCACTCAAAGTCCAGCTCTGTCTCCTGGTTGCTATGTCCTCAGATGAGCGACTTTATTTCTTTGAGCCTCTTCTGCAAAATGGGAACAATAATACCTACTTCAAAGGGCTGCTGTGAGGATTGGACGAGTGAGCTGGTCAGGATGGGTCAAGCTCTGCTACAGCAACAAACAGCCCCGAAGCCTCAGTGGCTTAGCAGAGCGAACGCTTATTTCTCTTCACACAGTCAGCCACGCGCCCCGCCATGCTCAGGCTCCACAAAGGCCTGGATGGGCACAGAGGGCCAGACAGTGAGCAGCAGCAGCAACAAGCTACTGTGGTTTGAAAGCGACGCATGTCACTTCCCACCTCCACTCACATTTTATTGTCCAGAATCGGTCCCATGGTGACACCTACTTCAAGGGAACAGTGGGGTGTGAGGACCCAAGGATCGAAAGTCTGCCACCATGAGATGACACTGTGCTTCCCAAACGTCACCATTCACAGGCTGCCCAAGGTAGCCTCTCCGCTACGATTTCCTGTTTTCCCTTTAAATGGAGTCAGGCTAACGTTTTCCACCTGAAACTTCATCCTAAACATGAATAGCCACGGAACTGGTGTTTTCTGATGCACATTAAAATAAATACATATAACTGTTCAAATTAAAAACATCCATTCACGTCCCCCTGACGTCCCCCTGACGTCCAACCACGGTTATGCCTGCCATGTTGGCAGACGTATGATGAGTTAGCACTGATAAAGTGCCTGCCCCTGCCCCTCATTAAGCTCTCAACTAAAGCTAGTTATTATTTTATTAACCATTTTCTCAGGGCCTCCTCATGCCCCCCTCACAAGCTGTCCCCAGCTTTGCTGGGCCTCCGTCTCAGCCGATGTGCCAAATGCCCGAGATCCTGAAGGCTCCATCGAGGCCCTGCCGAAAGGCCCCCGATGTTTGGAAAGCAGCCAAGGAGAGGGAAAGGGTTAAGCCTGTCATGTTGCGTTCCCACCAAACACCTCTGCCTACATGCAAAGTCCCAGTAGGGTGGTGTTTGCTATAAAGCCCTAAGAGTGATTTGTGAAGTCGTGAAGCCCCGTAATCTCGTCAGCGTAATGGGATTATATTTCAAATCACCGCGGCCTGTTCATTACCCATCTAAACTCCTCTGACAGAGGAAAACTTCCATAAACGTGCACGGGGCCCTTGCCGACGTCCCCACTCTCTGCCCTGATTAGACAAACAGATGCTGAGGTCTGGAATGAAAAACTAATGTGCCCATTTATTCATTTTTCTGACTAGTCACAATAGATTTTTAACTGCCAATGAGTGACCTCCCGGAGGTGCCCGCCAGGCAACTGGTCATTTCCGCCTGCACCGGCCCCCCTCTCCTGGGACCAGAGCTGGCTGCCAGGCCGGTGAGGCACTCGCCTCACCGCCCTGGCGGGGACTGCGGCCCAAAGGGGAGGAGGCTGCCTGCGGGGCTCTCGCTGCAACA